CATTTCAATTCACATTACGCTGTCTAGGGCATTTAAACTCAATCGCCCTGTCTAGTGCATTTCACTTACATTGCACTGTCTAGGGCATTTCAACTCAATCACACTCTCTAGTGCATTTCACTTACATCGCACCGTCTAGTGCATTTCACTTGTATCGCATTGTCTAGTGCATTTCAACTTGCCTCGCACTGTCTTGTGCAAATTTGCATCGCACTGCCCTATGCACTCATTTCGCTCTGTCATGTGCATTCACCCTTACTCGCATTGTCTTGTGCACCTGTATAGCACTGTGTTGTGCACTCTCCTGGTCTAGGAGACCTTAAACCCTCTAAAGGTGCAATTCCTTTAGTGTTTGTCATGCCCGAACGACTTTCGGTGGTCTGGTATAGCCACCTACTTGTGTTTGCGATGAGTTCTAAGGAGATCAACTGAAACGGTGAAAGCTAGAGTTCGAGTGGCCGAGGCCTAGAACGCAAAGGTTCGGGATTTTCGAGACTAAAGTCTAGTTTAAATATCCAAGGGTGTATTCTCAGATTGAAATCTGTATGACAGCCCCATAGGTTGAGGTAGCTTGTATGCGCCTCAATTCTGGATACTGAACTAACCTAGTCTGTCACCCTGTTGGAGAATAGGGAAAGTTGCGAACATAGCCAGGAGAAAAGTAGTACCTATGGTTTGGAAAGCGCAATCGAGGAGAAGAGGAAGATCCCGAGTAGCACAAGGTGAGTCATCACCTATTCGTATTGGAACTAGCAATGTATTTGCTAGTTGGTATTGAGATGCCTGGATTGACTTTGGAAATAGATTTTATATCAGACTAATGTTTTGAATTCAGAAAATGTTTTGAATAAACAAAAGGTTTGGAAACTGGGAAGAAAGAGTTTTATTGAGAAAGCAATGGGATTTGAGAATGTATTTGGGCATATTATATACGTATGTACTGCATTCATGATCATTTGCACTGGTGGAGCATATTTAGTTTTTGCTCTCTGTGAGTTTGATAGTGAAGCTCAAAAACTTTTTCTCTTTTTCGGCATTTAGAGACTAATTATGCAAGAAAGGTTTGGGTGAGATATTAGTCAAAAGATGAGAAGGTAGAAGTGCAGTCCTAACCTTCAACTCATCACAGGCTATGAAGGAGGGATATGACCAGTTGAGGGGGTGGATTTATGATTGGTGTGTTTCAGTAACAGAATGAAGAAAAGAGGTAAATCTCGATCAGGAGAGATGTGTTTGGCTATGCTGTTATGGAGTTCCATTTAACTTATGGAATGCTAACACATTCAAAAGCATTGGTAGCTTACGGGGTGAGGTAATCCAATTTGTTGAAGTTAACAATACATATTCTCTTGAGTATGGCAAGGTCAGATTGATAACAAATAGCATGAAGTCTATAAATACGGTGATAAGTTTGGAGTAAAAAGGAAACATATATCTTGTTAGGATATGTGAAACCTTTGATTTTCATGAAGATGTAGCACTCAAATTTAGTGCAAGAAAAGATCAAATCTCTGTCAGTTTTGAGACAAAAAATGGTGCTTTCCTCAAATTCAAACAAATCAAACGAGTCATCATCAACTATCAATCGGTGTGTGAAGAGAAATGATTTTTATGGAGGAGCTGTGCTAAACTTGGTGCAAATGAAACCTCTTAATTTAAGGAGTGTGCTTGGCCCACAACATAAATAGGGGCGTGTTCATTCATTATTTTGGAGGCTCAAATCCACTGTTGTAGATCTTGGAGTTCCAATTGGAAAAAAATAAGATTGTGCAAGTATCCTATGAGCCAAGTTCACTTTTCTCTCTTGGGCCTCATATCCCAACAATGCGAGTCAAAGGAATAAAGAAATGAAAAAGAACTTACTGAAAGCATCATTGGTACTTCCAAAATTCAAGAGATAGGGTATTGGTTTGAGGTGATTGTTTGTTATGAGGGTCCCAATTGGAAGGGGGTTTTGTTTGGTATGGGGTGTAGATGGTTTGGTGTAGATGGTTTGGTGTAGATGGTCTGTTAAGATCAGTGTTTTGGGTGTTGGGGGTGGTTTTTATGTCCTTTGCTTTTTGTTTGTTCGGTTGGTTTCTCTCAAGCCATGGTGTAGTGCTAGTAGATGATTGGCTTGCTTTCCGGTCCCAACCTAGTTGAAATCGTCTAGTTTGCTTGGATGCTTTGGCACTCACCTCTCTTTATTGATGTTCATCTTTATATTCTGTACATTTGATTCTCATCAATAAATTTTCTTTTGCTGATAAAAAGAAAAAAAAAGAAAAAAAACTTTAAAAAAAAAAATCCATACATTCACTAAAAATGGCATTCAAAGGTAAGGACTTTATTGACTTTTCCGCCTACAAATTGTTGTGCCAAACTGCACATCACATTTTCTCTCAGTTCACACTATTACCCAATTTTTTTAAAAAACCATTATAACCCTTAATCAAATAATTTTTAAACAAAGCCTTCAACTTCAATTTCTCCATACACACCACCAACCAACACCATCAAAACTAGCCGTCTCTGCCACCAAACCACTCCATCTTCCCTCGCTCAGTCGCCCCACCACTACCATTTCTTAGTCTCATCGTCACTAACATCAGCAACTAACATCTCAACTCTGACCACCCCCCACCATGATCGCAATTCTGATCGCCTCATTCCACCACCATCACAACTCCGACCACCTCGTTGCATCACCATCTCAACACACCCAACACGCCAGACCCCATCGGCTACCAACATTGCTATTTCGCTGGCTACTTTCAAACTCCAACCACTGTCTACCACAATTCTCTTCCTCACTACAACCTCTCCAATCCCTCTCCCAATCCTTCTTTGCCCTCATTCATCCTCCCTAACCTCTATCCCTCATCCATTCTTCCTAACCTCGAGAACCCTTTATCCCTTTCTCTTTCCAGCCTAGTCGTACCGTTGCCATTGCAACCAGAGAAAATATCGTGATTGCAATAGAGAGAGAGAGAGAGAGAGAGAGAGAGAGAGAATGGGAAGATCAACTAAGGAACGGGAGAAGGAGGTTGCAACGAGGAAGGCAGTGACTAGGGAATGCGATGGTGGCTGGGGAGTGGTGGCCAATAACCAACGGCAATAATTAGGGTCAACGTTAGATTTTGAAAGTTGGAAGTGTTGATTGAGAAATAATCAAAAAGTCAAATTATGTGGTGTGAAGTGAAAAAGAGGTGCGTATTAAGAAAATATGTGGTGTCCCTGTAGAAGCTCCCATGCCAAGCTCAAAGCAAAAAATTAAACTTATTTTTTGACCAAGAAAGCAACTAAAAGTGCTGGCCGAGGTGGCTTAATTAAAACCAAGCCACCCAAAGGTGTATGCATTAAATTCTTCATCAATATTATATGCAGATTAATTTCCCTTTGAATAGAGAATATGGTACTCCCTCCGTCCCAAAATATTAGTCCCTTATTCCATTTTTTATTGTCCCAAAATATTAGTCCCTCTTCAAAAATCAAGTACAAAAATAATATAAAATTCCTATTTTGCCCTTCTTTTAAATTAATAAATAATAGAAAAAGTACAATTATGACATTGATATTCCCAAAAAATGTACTATTAAAAGGATAATTTTGGAAAATTAACTTCTTTCAAAAGCAATAATTGTACTACCAAAAAAAGTTGGATTCCCCAAAAGGGACCATTATTTTGGGACGGAGGGAGTAATTTTATTTAAGTTTCTCAGTCTAAGCAGCAGATAACGGTGCTGTTTGGTGTAGCTGTTAAAACAGATTATAGATTATAGCTTAACAGATTATAGATTATGACTTTAATCAGAAACTGTTAATCTGTTTGGTATAACTGTTGGATTATAGATTTAAGTTGCTGAGTAATGTTTGTTAAATAAGCTGTGAAGTAACTTTTTCAATTAATTTTTATTTTTTATTATTCACTATTTGTCTACATTTTTCATAAAAAATAATAATAATATTTTATAGTCCATTTAGGTCTTTTTCTATTTTTAAAAAAATAAAAAATAAAAAAATCTAAGAGTATAACCGTGAATTAACATGTCCACAGCAGAAGCTGATAATCAGAAGGCAAGGGGTGAGCAGCTTCTCAAAATCAGCTTTTTTGACTTAAAATAAATTGTTAGAATCAGAAGATATTTGAAATAAATTTAACCAAACAATCCAAAATAACTTTTTAAAAGCCAGAAGTCATAAACTGGCTCAAAAAAATCCCACCAAACACCCCCAACATATTCAAAGCATTATCCCAATTATTGCATTAGGCCCACTTTCATGTCCACTTTCTACAAGTCAGTAAAATCTTTATGCTTAAAACCCTAATTCAAAGTAGTCATTTGTCTGGAACTGAAACTGCCATTCCAACCGTTATCGAAAAATATACATTTGAGTAGTTAATAGATTAATTAATAATTTAGTTTGTATCAGTCTTATTTTGTTGGGTAAATTATGCAAATAATTCCTATAGTTTACAGCTATTTCAATTTGCTTAATTTTGTACCTTCATTTAACAGATTGTGTCATTTTAGTCTAATAAATAACGGTTTTTAAGTTAGATGGATGAAAAGTCTATACAATGTGTTAATTTAATCCTTGTAATTTACACAACGTGTCAAATTGATCCGTATTATTTTAATTTACTCGACTTTGACAAGGACCAAATTAACACTTTGTGTAAACTACTGAGACCAAATTAACACATAGTTTCACTTTCCGTCCACCAAACTTAACAACCGTTATTTATTAGACTAAAATGACACAATCCGTTAAATTAAGGGATAAAATCAAACAAATTAAAACAACAAAGATCAAATTGACACATTATATAAATTATAGGGACTATCTGTATAATATTTTGTTTTCAGCAATCAACAAGAAGCTCCTATGTGAGTCTATAATTATGCTATTGGGGTTAATTGTATTTTTGTAACCAATAAATAATTTTTGTGCGTAATTTAACTGGTATGGAACATTTAACAATTTTGGTAAAAAAAAAATGACAAATGAATTCAATGTAGAGCAAACGGAAGTTAATGAATGAAAAAAGGCAACTACAAATGTGAACTAATTAATAATAATAATAACAAATATTTAATTTCTAGTGTTTCTTTGTATTGTAGACAATGAATGAAATTGTGATTGCAGCAGAATATTATCTCACTAGTGTGGTGAAGATTCAGGTTGGATGATGCCAACGGAGAACAGATGACCGAAAATCAGATATGTCGGGGTTGGGGTTGGGTTGGTTTGACTTTGTTCCTCAAGAAAAACCAACCACAGATTGTACTGCCCCACCCCACCCAGGGCAGATCATCATCTCTCACCTTCCCACCATTCTTGTAAATGTTTAATGTTTGGAATACTTATGCTTTCGGCTTCGGCTTCTGCTCCACATCCCACCTTCAATAAAAAAAAATTAACACAATGTTATTGTTTTACGTTTTATTTTGACAGGAGAGATTATACATTTCGATCATAGCAAATCCAATTGTAACCCCAAGCATTTCTAGCTTTCAAGCACAAAATTCAAAATTGCCCTGTAATAAGAAAAAAATAGAATCAAGTCACCCAAAAAAAGATGAATTCATTGAAAAACTGTTTCTTGCTTAATAACATTTAGTAAAACAAGGCAAAAATGTACCGATTTTTCAAACACTAGTAGTAGATTCTCTATATGATATGCTAAATGCATTTCAAATAAGACCACAAATGCGTGCAGTATCAGTCTAGTGGCATGAAATGTTTGCTAGGTTAAAACTACATCCAGGAAGTTGACTGATGGATATTGAACAGAAAGCAAGTCTATGAATGTCGATACGTCCATTCACATTGTTGGTTTGTTGGCTCCTTGAAATGAACAACTAAAACACCACAAATTTGAGTTTAAAACAACAAAAGATTGAGAGAGGGAGGGAGGGAAACAAAATGAAACAATGAAGAAAGTAAAGAAATGGATGGCAAAAGTATGCCAAGTTAAAGGTGTCAAAGAATCACCAGGTGAAGATATTGCATCTTTAAAACAATCAAGAATAGAAACTTCCTCCTGCACTTCATTGCTGCACTTTGCATTGTGAGCTTCCTCCTGCCGCAATTTCTTCAATGCAACTTGTGCGTGGAAAAGAGATTCAGCAACATCATTGTCCCCAGGAAATTCCCTTCGCAAGACCTCATAATCTCTAACAGCTTCTGCCCATCGTTCAAGCTATAAATTCCACAATATGAGTGGCAAAAGTTCAACTCAAACAACAGAAGAACTCGAACAATCCAACTATTCAAATAAACTAATATATATGTATGTATATAGGTAATGATTCACCTTTGCATTTGAGACAGCTCTCCTAAGAAGGGCCTTGGTGTAATTTGGTTGGAACTTGAGGGCTTGGTTACAGTCCTCAACAGATTTCTCCCACAGTCCAAGCTTAGACCAACAAACTGCTCTATTGCAAAAGAGTAGAGAGTTGGACAAGTCATATTTGAGGCCTTCCCCATAAGCTGTGCAGGCCTCAGCAAATCTTCGGGAATCAAAAAGATCTTTACCATGGGAACGAGCTTTTGTTACCAATTTCACATTGTTCAGCAACATAGCAATTTCAATGTTGCTATAATCAACCAGACCAGCCTTCTCTGCTGCTGCAACTGCATTCTCAAACCTGCAAGATACCCACCATCTGTTCTCACTACCTCACTCACCCCAAGCAAGAGCCACATCTATTTTTCTTTTTCGAGAAGATTGATATTTGATAGATTGGAGTTTCACCTTCCAAATGCCATGTCAACCTGGGCCTGGACATAATGCACATAAGCTTCAGAGAGCATCCCAAAGAACTTTGTTTGCAAGCAAGATGTGGGATAAGCTTCTAATTTGTTGATTCTTGATAGGATAGAGTCCGCATCTTCAAGTTTGTGAAGCTTCAAAGAGGCTTCTGCTTTACAAGCTGTGATCTGTAGATTCAACAGGTTCATGCAGCCTAAATTCCTTTTCCTCTTTTTCATTTTCCTGTCAAATTAGAGAAAAATGTAAATTTCAAGCTTGGGTTCTTTTTACCTGTAGGGAAGAATCGGCTCCAGCCACCATGGCTGCATCACATTCTCTCAGTACAATCTTCCAATCGCCAATCTTTCGAGCATCCACACAGCAGTTAAGATGCTTTTCCAATAAAAGCATTTTCTGTAACTCAGTTTTGTCAGGCTGTTGCCCGTGAAAGCAAAGTTGACGACGACCATTTTCAACCTGTCCTAACCTATAGACAATGGAAGGATTAATTATAAAGGACCATTCAAAGACTGTTGCAAGACCATGATTGCATTCACAGTATAATAAGAACTAAAATTATCCATGTGCCTAAATATAATGTACTGCTCGCACATTCATTAAACATGATGAACTAAAAGTTTCCAAGTGTAAAAAATAACCCTATATCTTATAAATATTGCAACCATCAAGGAAACATCACATGGTTTTTTAACTTAAATCTGAATAGGGAAAAAATTGATGACAAAATTGGATTCAGAACAAGGCCAATAGTAACCAAATAATTAAATTAATCAACAAACTAATTCATTCCTGAGCCAAATTAGTCAGACACATACAACATGCCAAAAAGAATCTAATTAACTAAAAACACCAAAAAAATCATCATAACATGGAGGTCACGTTGTCTTGCACAGATGGGTGAACTTTCGGGTTCAAATCTTGCTACGCCCTGCAATTTAGGGCAAGAATTAAAGAAATCATATGAATTGAAGCTACACAACCACCAACTAACACAGCTTGCCGAAACAAACTATTTGTCGGAAAGCACTCAAATCCAAGAAAGTTGTGTGCACACCAAAAAAATCCTACGAAATGTAGGAATTTCATAATCACCAAGACAGCTAGCCTCACTTAGATCCATCAATTACAACTTGTATGCATTGAACATAAACAACCAAAATACCTAAAGATAGTTGCAACAACATCTGGGAACTAAATTGTTAAAAACCAATCAACAACCGCACATAAATCAAACAAAAGGCTGGAACAAACAAATCCTACCACAAAGAGAAGCATACAACAATCCAAACCAATAGAACACAGAACATTAGACCATAGCATTTGTAAAAGAAACACAAACTAATCAAAGGAACAACTTTTGTTTTTTTTTTTGCTTTTTTCCCCAAAGAATACAATAGATGATCACTAACCCAAACAAAGAACAAAGAATTGCAGTTTATAGTTTTTTTTCCTATCATTCACCTGAGATAAAGAGAGGCCAACCTTTGATGAGCCCTCAAATAGCCAGGGTCCAACCTCACAGCTTCCTCACACTCTCTCACCGCCTCCCCCAATCTCCCCAGCATTGTCAGCGCTGCAGCCCGGTTACTCCTATACGCTGCATTCTCCGGCGACATCACTATAGCTCGATCGTACAAAGACAACGATTCTGCAAAATTTCCTCTCTTATACAACTCATTACCGGCTTTTTTCACCTCTTCTGGATCAGAACTGGACATTGCCCCCATCTTAACCACACCCAACTCTCCGACCAAATGTATGTTTCCGATAACACTACCTCCTCCTCCTCGAACTATGCTTCCGTGCCCATAGTTAGCAGAGCCCAAACCCAATTTGTCGGATCTGCTTGAACTACGGCAACCCATATTGGATTTCAAAATCTTTCCTGAAGGGCAGATGTTGCCACTTGGGTAATTGACCGTATTTGGCGATGAGACTGAAGCTGCACCGCCACTACCACTGCCACTGCCACTACCACTACCACTACCACTGCCACTACTAGTGGTGGTGTTGTTGTAGTGGCTTCCACAACCTGAATAGATCAAAGGGGAACCGCTAGACATCGATCTCCGATGACCCGGCTTCGAATTTCGAGTTGCAGTAACAGATCGGGGGGTCTCGGAGGCCGTGGGGTTCATATCAATTGAGCCCGACAGGTCGCCGGAATGGTTGGTCGCATTATTACAATTGGATCTTTTCACATTTGGGAATGAGATGCTATTATTATTATTATTACTAGATACTGAACTACACGAACTTGTTCTGTAGCTGTTGGTGCCACCACCGTCTGAGTAACGGCTAGGTATGAAAGGTAAAACGGGGGAACCCAGATCGAGCTCTCTGAAATCGGGTTTGTTGTGATCAAAACTACACGACTCATGGAATCGATCGGCCAGAGAGTCGATACCCATTTCATGGGATTGCTTATCAGAACGCGACATTACCTTGAATGTGAGTGTGTATATATATGTGTGTAAATCACAGAAAAGAAATTCTCTTTCCTTGTTTCGACAGAAGCTGGAAGAATAGAAAACGTTAACAGAAGGAAGGTACAACAAACAGAAGACAAGAGGTATCAGAGAGAGAGAGAGACAGATGAAGATGGAGATCTCGCTATATGAAAGTAATAAGCAAAGAATGAATGCAAGGGAAAAAAGGTAAAGGGAAAGAAGAAAGTGGAGAGAAAAAAGGAAAATTAGAGAGAGGTGGCGGTTTTATTAGCGAGTAGCAGTGACTACTAGTTGTTGATCTAAGCATTTTGTTTTGTTGAATAATTAATGGTTTCTTTCGTTTGCTTTTGCAGCTTCACGAGATGACTATTCGTTACCCTCCCTCTCTCTTTTGGTCTGTCTGTCTGTCTGGTCCACTCGTCTCCACGGCTACCCTCTCCTCTTTCTTACCCATCTCTTTTTCTCTTTCTTTGGGTCCCCCGTTTTAGCCTCGTTGGTAAACATATTATTTTAATATTTTTTACAAGATAAAAAAAATTAATACGTTTGAAATAATTTTTTAAGTTTTTTTTATGAATAAACTTATAAAAAGTAGGGAGAATGAAAATTTTAATTTATTTTTTTTTATAAAATTTGTTGATTTTTTTTTTTGATTTTGTAAGCATTTTTTTTAAAGATTTTTAAACGGAGTTATTTGAGATTTGCTTATTTAAATTTCATTTAGTTTTAGATTTTTGGTTTAAAAAGTATGGAAAGATAATATTGACTACATAAGTTAATAAAATAAAATATCATATTTAAATTATAATCATTATATTTTTTTCTCTCACAAAAGTCAAAAAACTAAAAAAAAAAAAAAACAAATGAGGCTAAAAAAAGTTTTCCAAAAAAATAGCTAAAAAAGTCAATGTCAAACGAAGATGTGTATTTTTAATTTTTTACGAAAAAATATGTAAAAAAAATAAAAAAGTGATATGATTCAAATAAATACACTTATTTAGTGCATTTTTAAACAATTACTAAAATGTCTATTTACTAAACGAGGCTTTTTAATTGAAAGTTAAAAATTGATAATTGGGCCGCATAAACTAAAATCACATCTTTTTCAGCATTTAGATAATAAGCTTTTTCCAGTTCATTAAAGTTATTTATATCTAATAAGCTATAAGTAAGAGTTGTACCAAATAGTTTGGCATAAACTCGTAAATTAAAATAAGTTATAATTAGTTTATGTTGAGCTTATTTTAGGGCCGATTTCGGTGATATAAACTGTTCACTTTTTAACACTTGTTGAGTAGAATATTCAAGCAAAAATTTAACTATATATTTGTATTACATTTGTTTTAAAAAAATGGATAACAATTATAATTCAAGAGTAGCCATCCATTTTTTTCAATACAAATGTATTACAAATATATAGTTACCAATGTTCAATCATCTTAATTTTTTTATATGAATATTCTAAGTCTCAAAATGAGCCTACAAAATCCGAATACAATCTCAAATTGAGATAATCAATTTGAAAGAATCCAAACTCTAAATTATAAATACACCTTGGTCTGAGAATTGATTTTTTTAATAATTTTTTAACTTTTTATATAAAAAAAATTGTGTAAAAATATAGAAAAATGATTTAAAAATTTATAATGACTTTTTGATTTTTTAATTAAAAATCTTATTTTTCAAATAAGGTCTTAAAATGAAAAATGCTAAAAATAGTTTCTACATAATATTAAAAAAGTTTGTACGGATCTAAGATTTTCACATTGAGGAGGCGAAAGTATATATAACTCTCAATCATGAAAATTTATATATTCTTATTTTTAAAGTCATATTAATTTCAATCATCACAAAAATTTAATAATGTTATCAGTAATTAAACATTTTTTATCAACACATTTAAGTGTAAGAAAATGAACATACATTTAAATATATTATATTGCCTGCGTAAACATATAAGAGGAAAAAATTGTTGTCTTAGAGGTGAGATTGAACCAATGACAACTGTTAAATTAATCAAAGTAAAAGCTGTTTTTTGAGTGAAGTCTAACCACTCATGATTATATATATAATACATCTATTAAAAAAAATGTATTATAAGACAAAAATGAACACAAAACGAGAACTAATATTTCATAAATTTTTATTAGTATAATTAATTTTAAAATTTTGTAAGTATAATTAATTTGGGAAGGTAAATCTCGATAGTCTTGCGGGTGCTAACACTTACAAATTTAGGGGTGCGAAATATTATAATATTGGGTGTAAGAGCAGGTTTTATAATATTCATTCGTCCACATAAATTTTCAATGGATCCTCGCTATGGTTCGTAAAACAAAAGATACTTTGGTTAGTTGTGTCGGAATTAGTACTCTGATGATCAAGTTAGAAACTGGCTGAGAAAAAATGAGTTGGTATTAAAAAGATGGAGTCAATTTGGGTGATAATACATACATTCTCTCTTTCATTTATCTTCCTTTTATAGATGTTTGGTGTAGATATTTCCTACGTAATTTGACATGTTTATCATGATCATCACAATGTTAGAGCCTAAGCTCCTATTACACCTCTGGAAAGGGATGGCCTGGGCCCATTTTGGTTGGGATAGTACGTCGAACTCCCAATTGTATTCGGCATAAATGTAAGACGATAATGTTGGCAAGACTTACTTTGTGTGTCATCTGGTTGGCGAAGAGGTTGCTCGGCGTCAAACTTCTTCAATCCAGTGGGCTTGCTTGGATTTGGGCCCATCAGTGATGGGCCTTAGTGCACTTTGTTTGCCAAATGTGCAATTTTTATACTCGACTCACATAATTTCCCCATAAGCTCCTAGTCATCTTGAGTATCGAGTGGCCTGCGTGCTCAGCTCACATTGGACCGCTAATTCGGCCGATCTTCTTAACACATGGGTCTCTTCCATTGTACCTCGAGTTTTGGGCGTGTAGTGGGTATTTCGCTGCGTATCTTTGACATGACTAATGGGATCCCATAGAAGTTATATATATCTCCCCATCTTCGGACTTCCTTCGCACGCCTCATTTATATGTTTTTCAAAAACTGCCTCAACAACCTTTCGCCTCCGAATAACCCTTCATCTTCTAAAATTCAACTCCGTTTTCTTCATTGAAGTTGCTTCGCAATCCCTTCTCTGAGCATCCCTCAAACCCTTCTATAAGTCTTATGAGCCTATTTTCTTTTTCCATCTTGCCTTTTAAAGTTTGCCTTTGCTCTTTGAGTTGTTTCTTTCCTCTATGAGTGTCCACGATGAATCACCTAAAAGAGCTACTGTCTGAGTCGAAGGTAGTTTCCTTCTGTTGTCACTTCTAGATCCCAAACGATGTTGAGTTGGGACTCATCGGGGATGGAGAAGTTAACCTAGAAATGGCTGACATGAGCAACATTGCTCTACCCCTGTTGGCCATCACTTTTGCTTTCCCCTTCATCCTTTGCTTAAGACTACACTACGTTACTGGGGTTTAATTACCTCCAAACCAAATGTTAATTTCTTTCGTATCATAATGAGAATCATTGACTTGAACCGTATTTTAGGGATTAACTTAGGAATGCTTGCTATTCGGTATTGTTACACTATTGCCAAATCCTCTGCTCGGCTTGGGAGATTTTTCTTAAAGGCCAAGGATAAGGACCACCAATTGGTTACCATGTTAGCTAGCTCAAGAAAAAGCGTTGACGATGTAATGGTCCTAGTCCATGGCAATTGGGAATTCAGTGTCGAAGAGGATCGCTCAAATCTCATTCTTAGGAATAACGGTGACCTAAGAGGCTGAGTAGCTTTTATTCATTGAACTTGTACACTTCGTCTCTTAATGATTTCTATCGGCTTTGTTTCTTGCAGGTGCCAAGCTCAACAAGGGTCTTTCATCAAGGGACGCTGAAGTGTTGTCCCAAATAAAAACTACCTTAAACTACATTGGCCGAAAAGACTTTGAGGGCCAAGGTAGTGTTATCCACATTCTGCTGAGATACGATCCAACATACACACCTTTCGCCACTACTGACAACATGCTAATCCCAAAAAGAGAGAACCGTCTCGTGGCAATCACATGCCACGATGCCCTCAGTTTTAGGGAATTGGGTGGAGCAGTTGAAGTAGTCGGCGACGAGGGATACGAAGCAGAAAACATCGAGAATAGAGAGTCGACAGAACATCCGTCCTTACAAGAAGTCGACATATCAGGTCGTGGCCTATTCCCTCGAGCTTGAGACTTTCTTGGCTGAGCAGATCTCGAAGCTCACACTCGGGAGGATGTTGAATTCTTCATTCTTAAAGATTTGAAGGATTTACCAGGTTTAAGAGCAGAAGATATGGGTGCCAAGAAGTTGAAGTTGTCGTTGTAGCAACTTGTAAAATGACGAAATGCTGAAAAGAAGATTGCCAAGGCTAAAAGCAAGCTGATGGAGGTTGTCGACAAGAGCGGAGAGCCTGAAGCTCGGACATGAAGGATTGTTGCTCAAAAAGAAATGGAGGCCCCTAAGGAATTAGCTCTAGAAATAGTCGATTCTGTAGCAACTTTTGCCAAACCCGAGCAAAGGGGCTCAAAATGCCATGTCGAGTTAGAAGAACCGGTAGAGAAAAGGGTGTGCATCTTCCCAGCTTTGGACATCACAACACATTTCATGATTCGTCCAAAGATTAAGGATGCCAATGTTCCGATGGGTGCTTCAGCTTTCAAGGAGCCCTATTTTGTTCTTAGCTTGGCCAAAGCTATCATGCTTCCAGTGAACAAAGAAATATTATGTGCTGAAGATGATGTTGTGGCCATCGTTTTGGCAGCTCAGTCGGCAATCTTGATAAGTGCTTTACCGAATTACGATAATTGTAGATTTTGACGACTTGGATTTTAACGCAAACTTTTTGTAGGCTGCTAAGAGGATTATTGACATTGGTCGCGAGCACCGCCATGCAGTGAATTTGGTTAGCTAACTCAACGAACAAGTTTCATTTGAAGAAAAGAACATTCAGACGACAGCTGCTGACTTTGTTGTTACAATTGAGAAAGCCACTACTGAACAAACCAGAGCTAAAGCTGAGCATGTTAGAGCTGTGGACGCCAAGAAACTTTGCCTTGCTGCTGAAGAAAGAGCAGCGACTATTGAAATGACGTACAAGGTAGCCGAAGATGAGCTTCAAAAGGTGAGGGCTCAACTTATGGAGGTGCAGCAATCGGCAATTGAAGCTTTTAAAAATGAGAAAGAGTCTATTACAAACAATTACGCTGACGAAGCACTGAAATTTGAGAACAGGGGATTCAAACACGGATCGACTAAGGCCTTTGAAGCATCCAAGGTAACTTTGGGCGTGTCGATCCCCTTTAAAAATGAAGGTGTTGAAGCTCAAGACTCTGATCTCGAATAGAAATGATGCCAACTGTCACACCCCAAACCCA